CCTGAACCCCAAAAATCCACCTGAATCCCAAAGAAATGCACCTGAACCCCAAAAAATCCACACAAAATCCAAAAAAATTCCACCAAGTCCCCCAGAAGTGCCCCTGGAATAGGTGGGAAAATGGCGCCTTTGATCTGTGAGGGGAAAAACCCCAAAAAGTCAAACAATTCCCCCAAAAATTCCACCTGAACCGAAAGAAATCCACCTGAACCCCAAAAAATCCACACAAAATCCAAAAAATCCACCCAAGATCCCCAGAAGTGGCCCCTGGAAAAATTTGCCCCTGAAAAAGTGGGAAAATGGCGCCTTTGATCTGTGAGAGGAAAAACCCCAAAAAGTCAAACAATCCCCCCAAAAAATCCCACCTGAATCCCAAAAAATCGACCCAATATCTCAAAAAATCCATACAAAATCCAAAAACTTCCCCCCTGAGACCCCCAGAAGTGCCCCTGGAAAAGGCCACCCTCCATCTGTGAGGGGAGAAACCCCAAAAACTCAGAGAACGCCCCCAAAAATCCACCTGAAATCACCCAAAACCTCTTATATTCCATAAAAAAACCATCTCAGTCCGTCCCAGTCCCTCCCAGTTTGTCCCAGTCCATCCCAGTCCATCCCAGTCCGTCCCAGTACCGGCTGGTAGGTCTCGGCGCCGCACTGGTCGCAGCTGTAGGTGGCACTGAGACCCCAAAGCTGTCCCCAAACCCCCTCAAACTGCCCCAAATTCCCCCAAAATCCATTCCCAGTCCCTCCCAGTTTGTCCCAGTCCATCCCAGTTTGTCCCAGTCCATCCCAGTTTGTCCCAGTCCATCCCAGTATATCCCAGTACCGGCTGGTAGGTCTCGGCGCTGCACTGGTCGCAGCTGTAGGTGGCACTGAGACCCCAAAGCTGTCCCCAAACCCCCTCAAACTGCCCCAAATCCCCCCAAAATCCATTCCCAGTCCGTCCCAGTTTGTCCCAGTCCCTCCCAGTTTGTCCCAGTCCATCCCAGTCTGTCCCAGTACCGGCTGGTAGGTCTCGGCGCCGCACTGGTCGCAGCTGTAGGTGGCACTGAGACCCCAGAACTGTCCCCAAACCCCCCCCCCCCCCCCCCCCTCCCCCCCCCATCCATCCCCAGTCCCTCCCAGTNCATTTTGCAGCCCCCGGGTGCCATTTTGGAGCCATTTCTGAGGGGATTTTGGAGTTTCCTGAGGGAATTTTGGGATCCCCCGTTATCCACGAGCTCCTGAATCCACAATTCCCAGATTTTGGTGGATTTGGAGCCAGCTTTAAAAGTCTGGAGTCCATTTTAAAGACTCTGGCTGCCGTTTTGCAGGCCCCGGGCGCCATTTTGGAGCCATTTCTGAGGCAATTATTGAATATCCTGAGGGGATTTTTTTGGGATTTTGCAGTTTCCCGTTGGGAATTCGGGGATCCCCCCTGACTCAGGAGCTCCTGAATCCAAAATTCCCAGAATTTTGTGGATCTGGAGCCAATTCCCAGCCCCTGGACACCATTTTGAAGACCCCAGGCGCCATTTTGGAGCCATTTCTGAGGGGATTTTTTGGGATTTTGGGGATTCCCGTCGGGAATTCAGGGATCCCCCCTGACTCACGTGCTCCTGGATGCGCAGCTCCTGGAATTTGGTGAATTTGGAGCCGCGGCTCTGCAGGTAGAGCCGCCCCCCCGAGCGGTTGGTTTGGCACTCCTGGCTCGGGCACAGCAGCAGCGGCGTGAAGGTCGGGCCCTCGATCTGTGAGGGGAAAAACCCCAAAAAGTCAAACAATTCCCCCAAAAAATCACACATAAACCCCAAAAATTCCACCTGAACCCAAAGAAATGCACCTGAACCCCAAAAACTCCACACAAAATCCAAAAAAATTCCACCGAGTCCCCCAGAAGTGCCCCTGGAATAGGTGGGAAAATGGCGCCTTTGATCTGTGAGGGGAAAAACCCCAAAAAGTCAAACAGTTCCCCCAAAAAATCCCACCTGAACCCCAAAAATTCCACCTGAACCGAAAGAAATCCACCTGAACCCCAAAAAATCCACACAAAATCCAAAAAATCCACCCAAGATCCCCAGAAGTGGCCCCCGGAAAAATTTGCCCCTGAAAAAGTGGGAAAATGGCGCCTTTGATCTGTGAGGGGAAAAACCCCAAAAAATCCCACCTGAATCCCAAAAAATCGACCCAGTATCTCAACAAAATCCACACAAAATCCAAAAAATTCCCCCCTGAGACCCCCAGAAGTGCCCCTGGAAAAGGCCACCTTCGATCTGTGAGGGGAGAAACCCCAAAAAATCAGATAACGCCCCCAAAAATCCACCTGAAATCACCCAAAACCTCTTATATTCCATAAAATAACCATCTCAGTCCGTCCCAGTCCCTCCCAGTTTGTCCCAGTCCATCCCAGTATGTCCCAGTACCGGCTGGTAGGTCTCGGCGCCGCACTGGTCGCAGCTGTAGGTGGCACTGAGACCCCAGAACTGTCCCCAAACCCCCTCAAACTGCCCCAAATCCCCCCAAAATCCAT